TTACAATTCTCAATCTGTGGATTTAACTTCACAAAACTAATAATTAAAGTAAAAAATGTTCTTTTGGCATTATATATGACAACTTTACCTGTTTAACTTTAAACAGGTGAATCTTCCTGTTTTGTATTTTTAGCTGTGATTTTTGTGCTTTCTCTCAACTTCACAAAAACTCTTTTCTCCTGAAGCCTGACTCAGCACTTTGAATTGTTATGGATCAGAAAAAGAGGCAGAATGTTTGTGCAGCCTGTTTTGTCCTTTAAAATGAGAAACTATCCATTATTTAAAACTTAAAAGAAATATTATTTATTAATTTAATAAATAACACTTAGTTCTTTGTTTTTTAAGAGCCGTTGCAAATCTGTTTACTGATGAATGAGGTGATTTTATCATGTATTTATTGTTTATTTGCCAACCTGGCTGTTAGTGACACAAAATAAATAAAACATTTTTATCATTCCTCTGCTGTACCGTCCCCCCTGTGTTCCCAGCCCTCCAGTAAACGCTTCAGTGAGTTGCTCAGCCTGGTAGAAAACAGGATTTAACATTCTTCAAAGGGACCGGCCGGTCTGCTTAAGCTCCGCCTCTTGGCAGTGACGTCAGCGCGCAGCCTGACCTCGCTCTTCACGCTCCGTCCACCCGCAGCAGAGCCTCCATCTCTGGCCGTTTAACCGACTTATATTCCGGTAAAAAAAAAATTTTTAAATAAAAAAAAAGACAGAGACACCGCTTCATCAGCAGACCACCGTCCGACATGGAGCCCTCCTCCTCCTCCTCCTCCTCCTCCTCTTCCTCCTCCGGTCAGTGCAGGTAGGAGACGGATCAGGCTGGGTGATGGTGGATGGCTTCTTTTAAATATCAGTTTATAAACAATGCATTAAATATGTTTAACGTTTGTCACTCGTGTCTGTGGGGTAAATTGAAAATGTTTATTATGAGGGGATATGAAGCTTTATTATACGGATTACGGCAGCCAATCAGAGCCTACCCTTCCCTGTGACGTCAGCAGGTTAAGTTACAGGTAGTTTGTGAACGCAGGAAGGATAAGCGCTGCTTCCTCCTTTCAGCACACACCTTGTTCTGTTTTGTCATTTCGGGTTTCAGAGCTGCTGGGACATAAAAGCGTCCGGACTGGTTGGACTGGTGTTTCCAGGGCTTGTTTGAATGATTAACAACAAAACTGAGTGGTGTTTACAGCCTGCATGTGCAGCACCACGGACAGCTCCACACGAGACCCCGTGCACGAGCCTATTTCACAATCAAATCAAAGTCAAACCTAATGTTTAACTTGAACTGTTAAGGTTTAGGCTTTACACAACAGCAATGAGTTGCAGAAAATATAACTCATGTCTCTGTGAATAAGTCATGTTTTAATAAAGGTTTATAAGCTAGCTTCGTGCATTTCTGAGTTTTAGACTAAGATGGTTTTACATTGAGATAAAGAGTTAAACTTTATCTGTCAGTGGTGGCCACGGCTAACCAAAAACTTAGCTTTGCTAACTCATAATCTGCTAACTAAAAATGTAGCTTCGCTAATGCTAAACTGCTAACCATGAAAAACAAAGCAGAAACCAACACTAAGCATCTAAATAAGTAAAAATTATCAGAAGCTAATGCTAAACAAATAAAAACCTCAAATTTACCCTAACTTAACTTGCTGAAGCTAACACTGACAGCTAATTGCTAACCGCTAAAATGAATGTCAATCTGCACCGTTTGTGTCTTTGTCTCCTACGAGCTGAAGACTGTTGGGATTGACACAAACCTGTTGATGTTAACTTATTAGTTATGTTTACGCACCTGAAGTTGGCAAAACCCAATTTAGCGAAAGGTAATTAGACTGCTAATGGTACAAAAGCTAATCCATTAAAGAAAAATTACATTCATCTTTAGCTGTTAGCCATTTAGCAAAACCATGGCCACTGTAAAAGTTTTAACCTTTATTTTTACAGATCATGATGACGCACCTGATTTTTTTAGGCAGACAATACGATCAACAATAAAATCTGTTTAAACAACTTAATGAAAATAATAAAATCAAAGAGTCATTTTTATCTGTCAGTGGTGGCCAAAGCTAACCAAAAGGCTAGCTTTGTTAAATCATTATCCACTAACAAAAAATCTAGCTTTGCTAACACTAAACTGCTAAATGTGTAAAAAAAAAATTAGAAGCTAATGCTAAATAGCTACTAACAGCTAATTGCTAACCGCTAGGACAACTATCTGCATCACGTCTGTCTCCTTTGAGCTGAAGACTAGTGGGACTGACACAAACTTGTTGATGTTAGCTTGTTAGCTGTTAGCGCAGAAACCTAATAAGAAGCTAATTGGACCACTAATGGTTTTTAATGTTGTTTTTTTTTAAAAAGCTAATCTGCTAAAGAAAAATTGGTTAACTGATTAGCGGATGCATGCCCACCACTGATTTCTGTAAAACTATTTTTTAACCTTTATGTCTAAAGGTTTCACTGAGACTCACTTTCAGGACGCACCTGTTTGTTTAGGCAGACAATATGATATAAATTAGTTAAAACAACAATAAAACAGAGTAAAATACTAAAACCATGAACAAATTTGTTTAGTTTGTTCAAGTGGCCTTAGTAAAATGTTTTAAATTCTCCAAAATAAATCCAAGTGGATAACTTCAAATCTTGTTGCAGGTTACAGTTTCAGTTTTACTTGTTTATAAATCACTGATTTTATAAGGATGTTCACCTAAATGAGGTAAAGTCCTGCTGTTTATTTCTAGCAATAAATGACAGCTGGCTCCAGTCCAGCAGAGGTTAAGCCAGCTGGTTTTTACACAACTCACCTGAAGAAGGATATAAAAGACGACTTCAGATTTATAGTGAAAACCACATCACAGCTCTTCACTCTGAAAAATAAGCCATGTCTGTGTCCGCTGTAATCTTTCCTTTCTGGTAATCTAAAAATAAGAAGCATAAACTCTTTAAATATTTGCAAGCAGCACCTACAAAACATCAACATTCCATAATAATGTATTTCCAAATCCATTTTGTGTTCAAGTTAAATATTGAAGCACGGAGCGACAGAAGGCCCGGGGGCGCTCGGATGACGGATCGTAAAACGGGCTCAGAGTCGTCAGGTTCTGTTCCTGCTGCAGACTGGTCCGGTAAACACCAGATCCTGAAGCGTCGCTCCATCTTTAGAACAAAGCGTTGAGCTCAGAGGGAACATGAACCACGTTATGAAAGCTTTACAGATTTATGACCACAGTTACAAACTCTTTCAGAAATTATTTCATCCCTTCAGGCATTTTTAATCAAATCATCATCTGTGTTACAGATATAGGAAAGGCCCAAAATTATAAGGCCCCAAGTGGAAAATAAAAACATATTTATGATTTATCTCACTTTAAAGTCTAAGTTAAAATTTTCCGCAAACGTTTTATAATTTAGCTCAAAGTTTTCACGTTTTGCAAATTTTTACAAAATGTTATATGTAAATATTAAATCCCAAATCTAAATGTGTAAATTTAAATTTAATAATCTAATCTTAATATTGCAGCATTTAAGAATTTTAGAATGGAACACAAGCGTTGCTGTTGAGAAGTGGGTCTCTGCAGTACATGTGTTGTTAGAGGAGACGGCCCTGCTCGTGATTGGCGGAGGTCTTGATGTGTGCGGAGACGGCCCTACTCGTGACTGGCAGAGGTCTTGATGTGGGCGGAGACGGCCCTACTTGTGATAGGTGGAGGTCTTGATGTGGGCGGAGAGACACCCTACTCTTGATTGGCAGAGGTCTTGATGGGCGGAGACGGCCCTACTCGTGACTGGCAGAGGTCTTGATGTGGGCGGAGACGGCCCCACTCGTGACTAGCAGAGGTCTTGATGTGGGCGGAGACGACCCTACTCGTGATAGGTGGAGGTCTTGATGTGGGCGGAGAGACACCCTACTCTTGATTGGCAGAGGTCTTGATGGGCGGAGACGGCCCTACTCGTGACTGGCAGAGGTCTTGATGTGGGCGGAGACGGCCCTACTCGTGATTGGCAGAGGTCTTGATGGGCGGAGACGGCCCTACTCATGATTGGCGGAGGTCTTGATGGGCGGAGACGGCCCTACTCGTGATTGGCGGAGGTCTTGATGTGGGCGGAGACGGCCCCACTCGTGACTGGCAGAGGTATTGATGTGGGCGGAGATGACCCTAGTTGTGATTGGCGGAGGTCTTGATGTGGGCGGAGACGGCCCCACTCGTGACTG